ATTAATTATATTTGAATATTTAACTCAGATGAATGGAATTTTGAAAGGTGACACTATCCCACCCACGCCGTTAATTATTATGTTGTGTTTCAACAAACACAAATAAAAAAGCAAAACATCTCTAACTTTATGTTAACTTTTCTGGCTATGGTTGCTAGATACCTAATGCATTCCAGCTGGAATTTATGGCCTACCTGTATTACTTCCTTTTTCTATTGATGTATTAAAAGTCCCTTACAAAAGCAACTCAGGGAAAGGGATTTATTTCAACGCACAGGTCAAGGGAAGATCCACACGGCAGGCAAGGAAAGTCAAGGTAATAGGAGCTGGAAGCCTCTGTTCACTTCACATCTGAGGTCAGAAGCAGAGAGTGATGAATGCTAGCGCTCAGATCAATTTATCCATTGTATATGTAATCCAGAATCCCTGTCCAAGATATGGTACAAATGGCAGCTAAGATGCACCTTCCTACATCAGTTCAGCTAATTAAAATAATCCCTCACAGGCTTGCCCAGAGGCTAAATAAACCCACACAGTTGTGCCTGGAAACTGTTTCCTAGGTGATTCCAGATCCTGTCAAGGTAATAATGAACACTAACCATTATCATGTTGACATTATCACAAAGCCATGCAGATTTAGACTTGGGTTTTTTTATTTAGCGAAAAGAAATGATAAGGTATCATTTCCCACCTTGCCTAAGCAATCTTTGATGTCAAATAGCCTTTAACAGGTCCAGCCAGGGAGTGTCTTAACAGTCATTCATACTTTATCGAGATAATTCAACACCACAAGATTGCTCTCTTCAGTGTTGGCACAATCAGAACAAATTCATACCATCCAAAAGGTTTCCCCTACGGGTTAGAGGTAAAAAGCCTTCCATAGGAAAGATCCAAGAACCCAGAACCATCTTAACTTCAAATGTTAATTGTCTCTGCCCTCCATTAAACTATCAATGCCATTTTGTGTTAATAGAACGTAAAACTGTTTTGTGCCACCAACAAAACTCATCTCTCTGACCTCTCATTTTGCCTGCTCTGCTTAGTTCTCACATTCGTTAAAATTATTTTCAGTATCCTGATATCTTTCTGTGAGTCATCATTCCTTAGTCGTGTATTTAATACATGTTAAAAAAATATATGGACATTGTTTTAATTAAGCTAAGATTTAAAAACAGTTATGTGTGTGGGTCTTTTGCCTGCTTGCCTGTCTCTGCATGTACCACCTGTGTGTAGTGCCCAGGGAGGCAAGAAGAGGGTGTCAGATTCTCTGGAACTGGAGTCACAACTGTTTGTGAACAGCCATGTGAGTGCTGGGAACCACACCCAGGGCCTCTGGAAGAAAAGTCATCACTCTTAACCATTGAGCCATCTCTCCAGGCACAAACGAAGTTGTTTTTTTATTTGTGTGTGTGTGTGTGTGTGTGTGTGTGTGTGTGTGTGTGTGTGTGTGTGTGTGTGTGTGTTCAGGTGCCCATGAAAGCCAGAAGAGTTTGTCAATGCCCTGGGGCTGGAATTATGAGAGGTTGTGAGCCCACTGTGGGTGCTAGGAACTGAACTTAATCTTTTCTCAAAGAACAGCGAGTATTCCTAACCACTGGGCCATCTCTGTAGTCCCAAGACATGTTTTTGATGTTGTTTTTCTCTCAGACCTGACAAAGGTAGAATGTGAAATTGTTTGACTTTGTGATTAAGTCAGAGCAGTTTATCCCACCTGAAATTGGGTTTGAGAACTGCGTGTACAAATTTCCTCTTCAGGTATGACGGTATCAGTAACAGTTTATCTTCATAAGACATTCTCTGCCCGTAAATCACTATCACGAGTTGTGATGAAAGAGAGTGTGACAGCCAGAACTATGAGTTGTGGCTTAGCTGTGTGACCTTTGGATTTGCTTGAACGGACTGACTTACTCAGTTACAAAGTGCAGCCCTTTTGCAGCATTCCTAAGAGAGTGAGGAGAAGCCAGGCAAGCAATGATTTCAGTGTGCTGGTGCTTACATTTTGCTTTCATCGTAAAGTTTTAATTATTATTTTACAAGTGACAATGCAGTATCCTTTTAGTCAACTCTGTTGTTTAAGTATCTGAACGTGTAAAGGGAAAGAAGCAAACAGCACCACCTGTTTGCTAATTTCCAGGCAAACTCGAAGATGCTCTGAGTATGGGGTGGAAGGCTCCACCTCAACACTCAGGTGTAAGGTTGGTCAAGATCATGATGGGGAAAACCACAGAGACAGCTGACCTGAGTTAGTGGGAACTCACGGACTCTAGACTAACAGCTGGGAAGCCTGTATGAGACAGAACCAGGCCCTCTGAATGTGGGTGACAGTGGTGTGGCTTGATCTGTTTGTGGGGCCCCTGGCAGAGAGACCAGGACTGGGTACATAAACTTTTTAGAGCCCATTCCCAATGGTGGGATGCTGTGCTCAGCCTTGATCCAGGGGGGAAGGGGCTTGGTCCTGCCCCAACTCAGTATGCCAGCCTTTGTTGACTACCCAAGGGAGGCCTTCTCCCCCGCCCCCCAGGAGGAGTGGATGGGGAAGGAAAGGGAGACAGAGAAGGGAAGGGAGGCGGAACTGTGGAATAAAAATATAATAAAACCTCAGGTGCTCCTGTTCTGTTTATTGAGATGGATGAGCAGGCTGAGGCTTAGCTCAGTGCTATGGTTAAAGAAGGGAAATTGGTGATGGAGTCAGAGAGTTTTCCCTGGGGAGGAAAACTAGAACTCAGCCTTGAAGTGGAGGGTAGACTTTCCAAGCATAGAGCTAGGAAGGAGGCTCCCAAGAAAAAGAACAGTGTAAACAAGAGAAATGAGAAGTGGACAGTACCGTGGCACAAACAGAGGGTTTTCTCTGGAAATATAACAAGGTTCTAGATCATAAAAGGTCTTTGTATCGTGCTACAGTATTTCAATTTCATTATCTTGGAAGTGTCTGAAACATTTTTGAGCCAGAAAATGGCATAAATGTATAGCTTAGAAATATTTACTAAACCAATGTTCTCTGTTGTATGTCCATCTGCTTCTGTATATTCATACATTGAAAAGTGACTTCCATATCAGAGAAACCAGTTAACTTAACACTGCCATCACACTAATGTAAGGCACTTGTATATTTATGATCCTTGTTGTAAGGTATAAAAATTGCCACTCAAATCTTTAAGTTTTAATGTCCTACAAGGAGTAAGATATACAGTTCATCACATCTGACATTCTCATTTATTTAACTATTATACAAAGAAGCCAAGACGGTGTTTATACTTTTGGGCACTGTCCAGCACCCTGCGCTCTTTAACACATTTGGCATGAGGATGTCACAGACATTTGTTCCAAAACACAATTCTCACATGGTAATGATCCTTCATCTTTAGTGCATCATACTTGACAGTGAACAGTAAAAAACAACTGGTTGGTGCATTTTATGATGTACATTATACAGTCTCTCCGCAGTCTGATTTTTAGAAGCAAGAACATTTGCTACCTGTAACGTTTGGGACCCCCTGGTGCTGGGTCTCTCATTCTTAATTCTGAAAGATAACAGCACTATCTATACTGACTTCCTTTTCTCCAACCCTACCCCTGTTTGTAGCAGGAAATGTGGCAAGAGTTCCTGCCTGAGTTTGAAAGAGAGATGGATTTACCAATGGTTTTTGTATAGGTGACCTACGTATTTTCCAGATCTGCAGCCTCAGATCTGTTTAAGAAGCCGCAACATTCTGCCTTTCCGATCTCTCCAGAGCACAGGGAGAGCGCATTTTTCCCTTTGTGAGCCAGCTACCACCAAAGAAGCTGTATTTTTCTTTGTTCTTGATAGTGTTCAACCTTTATGGTCTGTTTTATTTCCTGCCTCTGACCTTGTTTGGCACCAGTTTTCCAAAACACAAACATAAAAGCAGTATAAAAAAATGTAGCCTGACCATGATTTAAACAAATCTAATTCAATAAGAGGACAAAGTGAGGGTTGTAACATTGTTAGAAACAATGCAATTTGCCATCAACTTACCATATATTAAATTAGGTCTACCAGAAGTCCTGACTATAATAGTTGCCTGACATACATCATTATCATAGCCCTGTCAAAAGGTTTTCTCTCTATGAGCTGCTGGATTTTCAAGGGATGATGAACACCTCCAAGAATCACAACTGTTGAGGGACTCAGGGGTAGAACTGAAGATAAGTTCTGTACTTGAGTGCTCCCCTCACCTTTAAGTCTATCCACAGCGGGTATTTTTTTTTAATAAAGTGAGTGTTTTATTAAATAGTGCATTACAGTGTGTAGTGCCTTGATTTATAAAGAGCTTTCCACTTACATCTCATTTGATTTACAGAACAGCTGTGTGAGGTAAATATCTCTGCATTAGAGAGAAAAGTAAGACACTGAGCTGTAAGACGAAGTGGTGTTTGCACCACATGAAAAATTTACAAATGCAAGCCAGTGTTCACAATCTTTTTAAAGTATTGTGCATGGGTAGTATAATCAAAATCCCCGTGTGTGTGTGTGTGTGTGTGTGTGTGTGTGTGTGTGTGTGTGTGTGTGTAGTGTAGTCAAAGGCCCTTTAAGTGGATGCTCAAATTTTGTTTATCCTTCTGAGGGCTCATATTTGTTGAGATGGCCAAAAATGTATTGATAGCATTACCAATCCCCAAAAGCAAAACATGGATGTCATCGTTGTCAGTCTCTGTCTAGAGATCCACTTCATTAGGTTGCAGTACTGTACTTACGCAGTACAACGTTTAGAGTTATGATTGGCTGTCCACCTGATTGCAAAGAGTGCATTTCACATAGGAGTGTATCCAGGCATAGGCTGTATATCCACAACACTGGACTGTTTCACATCCCTTTTCGGGTGGTTCTTCCATTCAGAAATTGCTCCAGGCTTCATTAGGTTATTAAGCCTAAAAATAATTATATATTGATGTGTTTGACTTTTAAATATCTGCCCAAATATGGTGCTGTTTAAATATTTCACTACCTAAGTAGTCATTACTGCTACTTTCTTTTTCAGGTTCTGTGATGAAGGAACCTGTACAGATAAAGCCAATATTCTATATGCCTGGGCAAGAAATGCTCCCCCGACCCGGCTCCCCAAAGGTACATCTGAAATGTCTTGTATAGTCTGACTCGTGTTCATTAGCTTGTTAACGGTCCTTTCTAAAAGTTCTTGCCTATGATCCATATTGCAATTTCTCATTAAAAGTGTCAGCATCACCTCCTTTGTACTGAAAGGTAGTTGACCACTTTTTCTCACCTCTTTGGTAAGTACTTTGCTCTCAAAACAGTTTGGATTGGATTAGAAAATAATCAAGTGTACCTCAAGCCACCTTTGGCCTGAGGCACATGGGCTCTTGACAGCAAGACCATTTCGTGAGCCAAGAGAGCACTAGAAATTAAATAAATTGCTGTTTCAGCAACAATATTTTTTTTAAAGTCCTGGAACCTAGGTGTTTAATGTCATGCCAAACCTAGCTGGCTTTCTGACTTTACCTGTAAACTGTTAATAGTTTCTGACCTCTGAGGGAATGGCCAGACTCTCTCTTACTGCCTAAATGCTTCAGAATATTAAGGAGGGTGCACGATTCTGTCACGGAATATGTGTGCTATGGTAGGAAGATGATTTGCAGATGCACATACCTGCCCTTCCCCCCAGCTCATGCTGTCACCACTCATTGAACTCTACTCTCCATTGCTTCAAACCCTCGAGCATTCTCCCTGCACATTGCCATGTACCCACCAACAGGCCTAAGCATCATAGAAGGTCTGTCATGGGTGTGTTGACATGTTGAGAGCAGATGCATTCCCTCAGCCTGTGAGTCGTGTGTCTGTATATTTTAAACACGTCATTAACAAACTCCATATAAAGAGTAAGGGCAGTCCCAGACACCTGGATTTTGTGTTAGCAACTGGTTTCCTCTGTGTCACTTTTAAGACCCTGTCTTTGTATGGGAGGGAAAGTAGTCACTCGAAGATACTTATAAGATTCTGTTTCCTATAATCAGTTAGAAAATGTAAATCATTATGTATTTATTAAACAGAAACAGAATCTTTTCATATGTTTGTTAAATGGCCGAGAGGGACAGAATTCTGTCCCACTGTTTCTTTCAGAGTGAGTGGTCTGTTTGGTTAAGGGACCAGGGACCACTCTGGTTCTAAATTGGGAACTATGAATAGATTCTATTAGAGTTCTGGTTAAACATTCTGGCCAATGCAGTTTCTTTCATCTTCTGTATGCTAATTTTATATGGTGTAAGTCATTCATTTTGTTCCCTGAGGACTTCTTGGCCAGCAGCACAAAATGACTACTCTAATGCATTTAAGCATCAATTTATATAATAACAGTTTGCCTTGTTTTGTAACAATTCAGGTGTTGGATTCAGAGTTGGAGGAGAGACTGGAAGCAAATACTTTGTCCTCCAAGTTCACTATGGGGATATTAGTGCTTTTCGAGGTAAGTTTTGAAATGTTGGAACTGAGCAAAATGTTCAATACTTTACTACTTAAACTAGGTGTGGTAACATCCATGTAATAAAATGAAGAATTGCCCATATACTCTGCCAAGCAGGGGATAACTGCCTTTAGTTGCTTTAATTTGCATCTACTGATGGAAAGGCTTTGTTTTTAAAAGTTATTTCCATGATGCAGACTTCCATCCTACTGTGCTTCCATTTTGTTGACATCCAATGTGTTGCCTTACCTACTGGCTTTTATGCCTGCCAGAAGTGTCACTCAGACCAGTCAATACTGTTAGAAAGCATAGAAAGGACCCACTGGCTTATTGACTTTCCTATGAGCAAGCTGCAGGGAGGGTCAACAGGTTCTGCAAACCATCTCCACACTGCTGTATTTCATGTATAATCCACACATGCACTCCTCCGTTGTCCACCGCACTGAGGCACTGGTCTCAGTCACTGGTTAACGTGCTGAATCACCCTACACAAGTTGCTCTACCTGTGGTCACTTTGCTCCTCATTAAAACGCCCCTTCTTCTGTTACAGAACCATCAACATGACTAACAAGTTCTGTTTCCAAGGCAACCAATTTGGTGCTTCTCATTTGCTCTTTGGCTTGTAGCCAAATTCCAACTATGTTTTGAATTTGTGCTCTTGGTGCCATGAGATTGTAAATAGGAACAGAGTTCTCATTGACTCATTGGCTGGCTTCCTGTCCTGGGCTGACACACTTCCTCCAGAATTCTGTACTATGATATGTCTAATAACTGACCAGATACATTTTCTTCTTCACACACAGTTGATTTCTACCCAGTAACAATTTCTAGAAGTGGGTGTCTGTCTGTACCTATGAAATACACTCTAGAACAGTGGTTCTCAACTTTCCTAATGCTGGGACTCTTTTAATACAGTTCCTCATGTTGTGATGACCCCCAACCATAAAATAATTTTCGTTGCTACTTCATAATTGTAATTTTGCTACTGTTATGAATTGTAATGTAAATATCTGATATTCAGTATATCTGATATGTGACACCTATGAAAGGGCCATGTGACCCAAAGAGGTCGCAACCCACAGGCTGAGAACCACTGCTCCAGAGGTCTTCCTGAGAGGTCCCCATGTGATGGCGAGACGCCATAGACTCTCAGCCCTCAGAACTGGAGCACTGTATTATCTTCCTCGAGAAAAGTATATTGAAAGGAATAATTTTATGTAGGTGAAAACTTTTAATTAGACATATGATCAATTAAGTGAGAACCCACGGACCAATATACAAACCTAACATACAGATAAAATTTGTGTTATTAAAAAATAAAATACAACTCCAGTTATAACAAAGTAGTTTTTCATCTCTGCACCATAACCTACTCGTAAATTGTCAGCAACTGGGATTGCTGAGACAAGGCTTTGCTGAAAGCAGAGGAATAATGTTTGTGTTGGAGGAACGAAGCCAGAAACAGTTTGCTCTGGAATGCTGCATCTGGCATCAGACGAGCAGGCAGCTTCTGATGATGCCTGTGAAACACTGATGGAAGTCTTGCTTTGGAAATGGCAAGCAGGCTGTCCCTGAGTCCCACCACCAGACCAGCTCCGCACACTGACACACACACAATCCAGATTCCCTGTCCCTCTGTGAGACACTGAAATTTGCTGTCAACATAATTCCTCATAGATTTTTCTAGAACTCCTGACAGAGGCTGACTGCATTCCTGGGAGATTTAAATGGATGATAGGCACTGATGTTTGAAAAACATAACACATTCATAGTTTGATTTCTCACTGATGACTCATTTTGTAATTTGTGTTAATATTAAGGTAATAATGTACTGATACTTTAATATATAAGCATGTAATTATTCTTACTATAAGTGACTTTTCTCCCTTCTAGACTAGTTTTTCCAAATGAAGCTATATAAAAGGTAGAAAGACAGCTAGCATTACTATTCAGAGAGCTCACTGTAACATAAAATAGTATATCTGATATACTATTACTCTAATAGAAAAGTGTAAAGAATAATTCGCATAATTCATTCAGTGCCAGTAGATACTATCTTGGCCCTTAAGTGTCTCATGGTACAGAACATTAGGTAAGCACATGGGAGAGTATCAAATCTCATTGAAATAGTAAAACAGACATTTTATATTTATTGAATTGGGGATGGATAGGAATTGAATTATTAAAACTCAAGACTACCAGACTTGGGTAAGCCTGGTACAGTATGAGAGGCTTTATAAATTAATATATTGTTTTGAAAAGCAATTTTTCCTTTTCATAAAAATTTATCACTTAGTAATAAAAGTTTTCTAAAGACTTTGTTTTTAAAACGAGCTACATAGTCGCAGTTGTGTATCATTAAAACTGTTAAGATGAAAAAAATAGAGAATTAGCAAAACAAAAGGAAACAGAAACATTTAAACAGACTATGTATACTTAGGTATGCTTGTGTGTGTAGGAAGATGGTAAGGCAGAAAGGAAAAAGGAACGAGCTAGTGAGCAAGAAAGAAATGTGTCATCATTTCCTTTTAAAATGATATCGGTGTCTTTACGATACCGTTTTCATTCAAAAACATTTCATTGGGTTACTCCCTAAGTATCTGCCAGTGAGTGCATTCACATCGGCTGATAACAGGTTCCTGTATGACTGGATGGGCTCAGGCCTGCATGAATTCCTAGAGGAGTTATTTATGTTGAAACAGGTTCTATGCAGAATTCTTACTTCTCTTCATAAACAGTTAAAGAGGAGAAAACAGCATCATCTATTTATTAAAATGCACTAATTATGTGCGTTATGTGTGTATATAGTTGGGCACAGAAGTACATGAACATATGCATTGTTTTGATATCAGTGTCAGTGAAGATTTGAACTTTATGACTTAAAAACTAGGGATGATATTTTATGTATTTAAGCTGCAAACTAAGAAGAGTATGGCACTCTTAGGAAATTTCTGTTTCCTAATGAAAAGTGGGGAGATATTTGGCTTAAGCAAGTAAGCATTCTCTTCCATTTACAGAATGGACTTTTTAAAAAACAAACCTCCCACCATGATGGTTAAAGAACCTCGTTAAACTTGTGGGACTGTGATTGACAGTTAGAGAACATAACCCACAGCCAGAAACTCTTGAACTGTGATCTCTAGAAGCAGGAAAAAGATGGGTTTTTTGAGATTGTATGAAAGGCTCGTTTGCTTTGTTTTGTAAATTGCGCCAAATGTGAAGCTGTCAGAGCTTCATCAAAAATCATTTGGCTTTTTAAGAGCCAGCCACAGGCTGTGCCTGTGCCATGGCAGGGTGCTGCCCTTCCTGGCAGCCGGAGTTGACTCTAGCGGTAGTGAAAACACAGAGGGATTGCGTGCACAGGAAGTCATAGGTGAGCGTGCCATTTATGGAGGCTGCAGAGAGGGAGAAGCATCCAATCCAGACCTACCCAGGGTGAAGAGGTGTGGTCTGGAGGAGGAGGCTTCTGAGGTGGAACCCAAGCCAGGTTCTGAAAGCTAAGCTAGAGCTTCCAAATGGGAGGTCCAGGAGGGAAGATCATTCCAGACAAAGGCAAAAATCCTGTACAGATGCGTGGGAGTGAAACAGGCCCCCGTGCACGGCAAACTCCTGGTGTTCTGACATTGCCAGAGAAAGAAGTGGCAAGCAATTAGAAAAGATATGTTGGAGAGCAATGACCCTGGTAAGACTTGGATCTGAGAGCACTTCCTCCAGAGGTATTCGAATCATAGTCTCAGTTTGTAATGCTGGCCAGTTTCATGCTTGAGCGTGCAGAAAAGCTACTAACCCTGTAAGCCAGTGGCCAGAGGAAGCCAGGATGGGGGATTGGGAAAGCCAGAATGATTTATTAAATGTACACTGATTAATTATTCACAAATTAAATTTCAAGGGAAACTGCATATAGTCTAATTGAAAATGATAGCCTTTTATAGGTAATAGCATCTCTCAGAGTTTAATGACTCTAAATCCAGACAGCCTAATAATGGCACATGCTAGTTTTATTACCTTTACCTAGTATGTAGGCAACGCTTTGCCCTCTTCACCTATAAACTGGGACCAGACAGCTCACACAGAGTTCTCTGATGAGGGTTCACTAAATATTAGCTGCATTCATTGCCGTCCACATAAACAAGCAAATACTCCTAAGTGAATCTTTTGTCATAACTGTCTGTACTGTAAAGGGGATGTTTGCTATTTTTCAAGGGTCTTAGAGTTTAGACACAGAGCATGTATGTTCATGTTCATCAGTGTTGTAAGAAGTGCTCTAGTTATATGTTTCCTGTTTGCTGAGCAGTTTTAATTATCTACAGTTCAACTGCACAAAAAGCAAAGACCAACCCCCTTGTCCTTAGGGAAATGAGAACAGTAGCAACAGGGATTCCATCTGTCCTTCTCCTCATGTGATGGTTAATATTGTCAACTGGACAGGATAGAATCATCTAGGAGACATGCCTCTGGGCTAGGCCTTTAGACGATTTCTCCATTGTGTTAATTGAGGTGGGAACACCCACCTTAACTGTGTACATACCATTCCAGTCTGTGGGTTTGGGTCTTAGACTGAATGAAAAAAGAGAAAGCTAAGCCAGAGTATTCCTCATTCTCTCGTTCCTGACTGAAGACAGTGTCAACAGCTGCCTCACTGTCCTCTTCCTATGACCCGCCCCCCAATAAGGGACTGTACCCTTGAACTGTGAGCCCAAATATCCCTTCCTTCCTTCCTTCCTTACATTTCCTTTTGTTATAGCAACAGAATGGGTAGCTAATGCATTCCACAAAACATATGCTTTTTTTTTTCAACAAAGTCTTGTTCTGAAAAGAAAATTCTCCTGAGATTTTTTTTCTCAGAGGTAGGTATTATCTTCTACAGGTTTTTCGCCTAGGGGAATTTCACGAAAACTGCCTTCTCATTTCAGGGGTTTCCTAGCATTGGTTACTAGTCTCGAACAATAAGTTGCTTCTCAGGTTGGAAGTGCCCTGGACTCACCACCTGAAGTTAGAACAGC